ATCCGGTTTGATATGTCAGAATACCAAGAGCGTCACTCGCTGAGCAGGATGATTGGCGCCCCCCCAGGATACGTCGGTCACGATGCCGGAGGCCAGCTCACCGAAGCACTTCGTCGCCGTCCATTTTCGATCCTCCTCTTTGACGAAGTCGAGAAGGCTGCGAAGGAAGTCCTTACCGTTCTTTTGCAGCTCATGGATGACGGCCGCATCACTGACGGCCAAGGCAGAGTCGTGGATGCAAAGAACTGTGTCGTCGTCTTGACCTCGAACTTGGGTGCTGAATACCTCTCCCGAGCCAACGCACCCGATGGTCGCATCGATCCCACTACCCGCGAGATGGTCATGGGCGCACTCCGCAGCTACTTCTTACCCGAGTTTCTTAACCGTATCTCTTCGGTGGTCATCTTCAACCGTCTCACCAAGAAGGAGATCCGAAAGATTGTCGACGTGCGCATGACCGAAATCCAGAAGCGTCTCATGGCGAATGGCCGCAATGTGCGCATCGAGATGACCAACGAAGTACGCGACTACCTTGGCTCAGCTGGTTACTCACCCGCTTACGGCGCCCGTCCCCTTGCTCGTCTCATCGAAAAGGAAGTACTCAATCGTATGGCTGTCATGATCCTACGCGGCAGCATCAAGGACGGCGAGGCGGCTCACGTAGTACTCGAGGATGGCCACATCCACGTGCTCCCGAACCACACCGACAGCGAGGAAGACTCCGAGATGTACGACGAATCCGACGCCGTTGCGGAGCTCGAGGACGACGCAGATGGAGGTATGGATCTCTACGAGTAAATCTCTTCTTCTGAGGAAGTAGACCTTTGCTAAGAGGTTTATAGGTAATGACTGGATGAGTTTGAATGAGGATGACGTGGACTAGGTATGTCCTAGTACCTGATAGAGTCTCCTCTTATGATTTCGAGTAAAACCCGATTTTTGGATTTTCGGTTTATGGTTTTGCAGCAAGGGCGTTTGTTTTGGAGATACCTTTTCTAATGACTTCATGAAAAAGATTCACGGATTTGATATGTCAAAAAGGCGCTGGATGGAAGGGAGCGACCTTGTATATAGTAATGAGAAATCTTGCATACATCATGATAGTCCCTTTACTTTGCAAAACCTTGCGATGCCTTTTTCCCTTGGATATATTCCCGCACTGCCAGCATGGCTCGTTTTGAAGGTACCACTCGACTAACACGACACCCAAGTCCAGATTGTCGTAAACGAGGCGAGCATCAACTATCAATACATTAGCCCGTCTCTCCACCAGACTACCAATCGAGAATCCGACTCAACTTACATAAAAAAGCACCAAGACCAGCAAGAATACCAAAACTGCGATCTCGGGAATTGTCTTCAGCGTCGTGCTGAAGAGCCAGAAGAGACAGACGGCTACGGCGGAAAGGAGGATACTGACGATGATGTGCGTGCAGTTGTAGGATGTTGGTATGTGTGGGGGGGTGAGACCCGGGTGCTGGGCTTCGAGGTCGGTGGAGGTAGGGGTGCTAGGTTGAGAAGATGGGGAGGTAGAGGCGGAGGCAGAGGTGGAAGCCTCGGTGTACGTCGGCCGTGGGGAGAGCATGATGCGCGGTCTTAGGGCTTGGTGCCTGGGGTAGTGCGAGGGTGGCAGTTCGAGATGCAAGGATCGCGTGGGGCATATGTTAGAACTGTTAGAAAGTATTGTCATAGGGAAAGGGACATATGAGATGGGTAAGGGTTCTCGGTGGGCCTATTTGGTACGCTTTGTGTTGAACAAGCCAACGTGGGTGTGGAGTTTGGAGGTGTCGCATCCGTGGTTGAGGGCGGTCAACAAGTGGTAAGCTTTAGTGATAAATACTAGAGAAAACTGTGTAGTATGTTCACATAAGTGACCACGCGAGTGCTACAAAGTATCTCGCGATCCTGATTTACCTCGTAAGTACCAAGAACGATCCGAACCGGTGATACATCGTCGTTGACGTTTCCCAAATGAACATTGAATCCCTCCCGCTGCAACGGCGCAGAATGAACCCTACGTCTCTTATCTCTAGGGGAACAAACACGCAAGTCCCACTATACCCAGTGCGCCCTGCTCAGGGTTAGACTTCATCCAGTCACCCACGACTGAGATTCTACTTACAAGAAAAAGTATTATAAGCACCGCAAACAATACAAGGATGAATGTCGCCGCGTCTGGAGCCGTCTCGGATAGTTTGCCGACGATCAAGAATAGGCTAATAACGCAGGTAACGGCGAGGATGATGAATGTCATGGGGAGGTATCCGCAGCCGACCTCGCAGGTCCTGGCTTTACGGCAGGAGCAGACGGTCTGGCCCTCAGGTTCGGCTATGGTAGATGGAGACGTGGGCCAGCTTAAAGGATCGGTGTCGGTGTCGGTGTCGGTGTCGGTGTCGGTATCTGTGTCGGTGTGGTTAGAAGGTGGTGGAGATTGTGCGGTCATGTTGGAGAAGTCGCCTTCCTCGGATTGTTGCTCGACTTGTCTTCTTTCAGCGCTGGTGAAGCTAGTTGAGCGCTCCAGCGGTTGGTAAGTGATGGTTGTCGGCGACTGCGTTGCAGTTGAAGTAGACAATGGTAGTATGCTTTGGTGGTGGAAGAAATTTGGAGATGAGAGAGAGATGGGGTTTTTCAATGTATGGCGCGCAGCGGGGGTGCAACTTGGTGAGGATTTTAGTGTTGAGAGGATTGTGTGGTTGTGGGTGTGGATTCTTGGTAGAGTGTGTTCAACCATCGGTTGGCGAAGGACCTCCACACAACACAAACATAGCGTCTAGGAATATGCGAAACGAAAAAATTATTATGAAGCAGCGCTTGCGCGGTGGCACGCCGACTGAAGGCGAAGGATTCCTGGTTATTATTGATTACAGCACATTTTGTGATCATTTTTGTACTCCACACACTCGATAACTCGGTCTTTTTATCATTATTTCCCTCCAAATTGATTACAATACCCATCAAAAGCTACGTACAGAACACGTTGTGAAGCGCGACAAATAAGCTCCCGTGGCCAGGCTTCACTGTTCAATATTGCCCCTTCCCAGTCCGATCGAATGCGACAGAATGTGACAAGCTGCGCATATCCTGAGCAGTCTCAAAACGAAGGAACCGCGAAATCTAGCTTATTGTTGAGGCCTGGTTCTGTGAAACAGTCCCACTTCCTCCATCCGTCATGCTCCCATCAACAAGTCGTAATGTCAACCCGCAGTGTCACACAGCAGACCTCATTCTATCCCTTCGATCGTTTTCGCTGATAATGTAGAATTCCAGCACATACGTGAGGGTCAGAATGACCACAAGCTAGACGAGTCAGCGATGTCTCTTGTAATAACGGGACAATATTTACATACTATGACGAACCAAAACCAGGCCCAAAAGAGATATTCCGCATTATTCATCTGTAAGAATACGTATGTGATAAGAGCGGAGGCGATGGTGACAGCGATAAAGATGGATCTGAAAGTCTGGTTGAGCGACTGGAGATGATCTTGGTAGAAACGGAAGCGATGTATTCTCGTCAGATGCCATTGTGGAAGAGCCGATGCGCTGAGCTTTGATATCAGGGACAGCGGATGGTGGAGGTGTGTATTGTGTCGTGGTAGTCGAATCTTCGTCGGGGTTGTCGAGAAGGGGCTGCACTTCGTTTCCGATTGTTGCGTGACGTAGAAGCGTAGATGGGGCGATTTGCGAGGTTACAGAATCGAAGCCGCCATCTCTATATACTTTTAGGTCTTCCATGGAGTCGTTTCTGCGAAAAGAGTTACAGTTTACCATACGAACAGCATAAGTGAAGATGTCGAGGCCGCGGAGGGTTGACCAATTTTAGCACATTTTTTTCACAGTCTCTGCGTGGCCAGTTGTTGGGCGACCGGAATCATGGTGGAAGTATGCATTGTGGGTCCGGGCCGGTGGTCACAGCTTTGGAATTGGGAGCTTGCTCAGGCAGGCCTGTTTCCTAGCCTTGAATGAGACAGATAGTCGAGGGAGAAGTTAAGACTGCTGTTATACTTGATGCAGCTATAGATCGACGAATGTGGCAGAGAGGGCTTGCCTGCATTGTAGCACAGACGTGCTAATGTCAAACCCAAGTAATGATTTTCTGATTGTTGACACGAGCTACGAAGTAGTGTCCCATAAAGTGATAGACAAAAATGTGGACTGCGACTGCCGCCCAATAGTAACACAAAATGAAGCGTTGCAAATGGTTAGACAAAATGATAGTGTATTACAATGAGGGTAATTGGTCAGCAAGGGCGAAGGAACAGTAACACAGACGCTTCAATCAAATGGCTCTTACACCCTCTCAGGAGGTTCGGGTGCGTAGCATAGTAGGGATAAGGTAAAGGTGGTCGGACCTGTGTGATCTTTTATTTTATTTTATTTTATTTTATTTTATTTTTTGTTAAGAAAATCCTACGAAGTCGACGGCATTTTTCCTAGGGGCATTTTTATCGAGGTTTCTAAGATAAAGTGTTCCATCTCAAGACATCTCGAACTAAATAACTTAATTATTGTCGAGTTTATTTACTAGGTAATAAAGTACTGAGATTAAGTAAACTCGAGTCAATTTAGGAACGTAACGTGCCTGAGTCCTTTGGCGGTTTAGGACATTAACGTTACTAGATATTCTTGTAGGCTTCCGGCGCGTGCAAGACAGCAGCGTGTAGTTCATAATATAATTTTAATAAGGAGAAGTCGTTAAGGTGTTGGCGTCTATAAGTGTTGAGTGTACAAGTGATGGATTGTTGTGGGAGCGATAACGCGCCCGGTGGCACCTTCCACATCTTCGACGCCCCTCCTCCATCGGCAAGGGTCAATAGAGGAGGGGCATGGAATGCTACCAGCGCAGACAAAGCTAAGTTCTAAACGGGGGTGGGCTGCCCCACATCGTGCGCAGCTCCACGTACACCACAAAATCAGCTTCGCATTTTGAGTTGAATATATATTCTATTTTTTGCACACTCATCATCAGATAAAACCACTCCGATCACAAGTCGGATAATGCCCGCATAGCACAGTGGTAATGCGTCGCACTTGTACTTCTCAAGCGCATGCGAAGATCCCTCGTTCAATTCGGGGTGTGGGCAAATCTTCTTTTTTGCTTTTTTCTTTGCACAACAGACTGAAACCACGATCCTCATGCGTACCTTTCGTCTGGTAGAATGTTTGTTGCGTAGATGGGAGATGCTGGAAGTTTGAAAAACTATTTTTGTTTGTACAGTTAGATTGGTATATGAAGAATGCAACGCTGCATCCGCAGCATGTTCCTTTGCACTCAGCAACGGAAGTGCTAGCTAGCTTTAGAGATTATTTCTACAACTTTGAACGCATGCCGAAAACACGCAGCACGGTTGCACAAGATCGCGGCTCAGATGGACCCGGACATGCTGATGAGTAGTAGGTGGGCACCACCGGTGGCAATGTGGAACACGATACTCTGTTCAAAGATGGCTTTCTAACGAGCACCGACTTTACCTGGTTTGATGTCGTGCAACGATTGGAAGATTTGAGATCATCGCGGAATATACAATACGCCAGCGCAGTACTAGTGGATAAATTGCCCATGATAACTATTAGCGCCAACAACTACGCTTGCAAGGCGGAGATCCCTTGGAAGTGATGGCATCGACTGCGTCTGGTCACTGTGGAACCTGCCCATATCTAACGGTTCTCACGTAGTCCAGTTTCGTTGGAATAAGTGTTCAGACAGACCAGAACTGTTCATGGTGAAGACAACGTGGACGCCTCGGACGACGAACGAGTGGATGGCATGTACTGACATGCGGCGAAAGTTCGCGTGCAGCCTCGAAAACGCAGACTGGGCCGATGGATGGAACGGGAACAAAGCCCTCGGCGTACAGTTTCTGACCCGCAATAAGGCTGGACGTGGAGGTTCGACCGTTGGCAAAATACACTGGTTGGAGACACACGTTGCTGTACAGGTCAGCATAACCGAGAGCGATGCCATTTCATTACACGTATGCCGACCCACCGAAAAATTCAATCTCCATGATGGAAAGGAAGAGATCCCTGTGCTGCCGCAACGCGATGATGCCAAAGCGCTCGTGGACACGTTGATCGCGATCTTGGAGAAGGGAGGAGAAGCATGGGAGGAGGCAAATTTGGTCGACTGGAATACTGTCCGCGATGAGGTAGTAGCAGCACTGGCTGAGGAGGAGTCTAAATCCAGCCGCGACACGAAGCCTGTTGCTACATCACCGTTTGTGCCTGTCGGAGATGTCATCATGGCTAAGAAGGGCGAACCCAACACTGACCTCCTACGTGTGCTCTGCAAGGATACCAGGAACAACAAGCACAAGGACATGCAGTTCAAAGGCATCCTGCACGCAGAGATCGATTGGGACAACAAGGAGCACATCAGGAAAATAAATCGCTGGTGTCGAAACATATACAAAAAGCAGGCATATCGAGGGAGCAGTCGTAGCGGGCTAGGGATGTAGGCCTAGGGTTGCACATTTGGGGATATATTTCTGGGGGGAGAAGCCATAGTTAGGTGGTATTGACATTCTTTTTCGTATCCAATGACTCGCTTCACAGCAATATAACTTTCAAACGCCGCAATCCGTCATTTAGTAGAGTGGGACCATGTTCTATTTAGAATGAAAGGATCTGTGCACCTGCTAACTGGTTGTATGTATGAATAGCCGCAGGCGACGTTGTGGCGCAGGCTCGCTCTTTCCTCTTCTGTTGACTTAAACATTCTTGTTCGCTGTTTGTGTACGGATGACGGATCGCCTCTGAACGCAATCTATACAACTTACAGATGGAGGTATCGTAGATTTACGATAGGTACCTAACGTTAGGCTTCTTTCTGAGTGCACTCGCTAAATACGTGTCTGCACACACTTCGCTCGAGATATGCACATACACCACTAGCGCACCGCACAACCTTAGCAGCGAGCACTGTCTCCTACTAATTTCGCTAAAGAAAATTTTCTTCTCCAACAAAGAGTCATGCAGGACGAGAAGCTGCCACCTGCGCGCGAGCAGAAGTATACCACAACGACCTGCTTCGTACGTGACTAGCGCGCGCCTTGTCGGGACCGCCCGCAACGTACCTGCTGCTTTCTACTAAGGCCCTCTAATTACTGATACAGTCTGCTTGCACTCCGTCTTACCTGCTGCACATGGCCCATTTCACCCACCGTAAGTATCCCGACTTTTTCTGCGGCCGCTGCGTTGCCTAGTTTGACTTTTACATCCTTCATCAGCCGCGAGCGCTCGTAGCTGTCGAGATGGGTTCCGCGTGTTCCAGTAGCAACATAGGCACTATCGCGAAGCAGCGCTGAGCAGTTTAGCGCTAGCTCGGGCATTACACGGTGTGCCTGGAGGGTGATGCTCGCCACGTTGGCCACCAGGAGCACCAACGACGCAATTAGTAGCGCGACCAGCCATCCCTTGTGGCAGGTGATGATGGCCCGACTCGTGGCGACGTGGGCCGTCGTTGAAGACGTGTTGGCTTGGAACTGAAGTATGCCCTGCTCTTTGCTCGCAATATCCCCCTCCAAGCCGTTGGGAACCGCATACGCGCCGGCACACAGGCTCAGGAATGCGTTGAGCATCTGTCCGAGACGCAGCGCGAAGACGGCCTTGTCTAGCGTCTCTACGTCCTGGTTGATATACGGCGATGCTGGCGATCCCGGGTTCACAAGGTATCCTTGCGCGGGCGTCGATGCCGACCACCGCACGTCGGTCACGCTGCCTAGGAACAGCTGCGCGTATATGCTTAAGAATTCGCAAAAGTGCGTATCGTCGCCCGCGCCGTCCAGCACCGTCTATGCAGGCACCGGGTGTGGCTTCGTCGACCGTTGTACCTTTTCAGCACGGCAGTCTGGCCCTTCGCACGTCACTTCCACTTCGGACGTACGATGTCTGGAGCGTACACACGGCTCCGAATCTGTTTCCGGACATGCTGAGCGAGTTGCATGATCTAGAGGGATTAGTTTCACCTCGAGATGTTGCATAACCTATTAAACAGCAGCAGTGATCTTCTTACATATGAAAGTGCCAGCACATTGGGCGCGAAAGATTTTTTCACGCTTATAACTGCACTGTATGTCTTGTTACTTTCGGGTTGCAGTGCTGCACCCTCTATTACGAGGTTGGTGTGCTAGTTGTAGCTAATCTCCAAGAAAGAAATTCAGACTTGATTAAATATCGAGTGTGCTATTGTGAGACCCTAGAGATATTGACAGAATGAGGCCAAAATATAGTCTCTCAGAGTCGCTTGCTAACGGAGCCGCGAAGGCCTCCGTACAGAGGCCTAGTCTTAGCGTGACTGGACTGTGCTTTTGGCGGCGGCAGATGAAGCGCCCCAGGATGGAAAGAAGCACAATAGGCACAATGAGAACTAACTATTGTTCGTTTCAATACTTGACACTCTGAAACAAGAGAGTTACTAGCACCTTTAGCTGCTTCTCACTTTGCGCTTCCTAACTAACGGTGATTAGTACTAGCTTTACCCGCGCGGTAAATAATGTTCTGACGACTTCGAAGCTTCATCCTTTCCCTCTGCTACCTAGCACATGCTGCTCCTTGAACATGCTAAAACACATCTATCGCTCCTACCTGACATCGCTACCTATTACGATAACTCGGCGTGCTATTTCAGCTTCTGCGATGACCCAAAACACGCTGGCTACCTCTTTGCAGGGAGACTCTAAATCCCCCCACAGTCAGTCCACCAGTTCTGCACTCGATATCACATAGTAATACAGAACTAATAGTATATAGGATTGGATCCATTTACGTACACAAGTGGACACTGGCTCAAAAATGATAAACTGCAACGGGAAGCACGTCATATCGAGTTTGACTTTTCGGCTTTGTGCAAAAAGGCAATCTAGGCATGCCCTGGCGCTAATAGAATTGCCAAACTGGAGAAGAAGGAAGGCTCCTATAACAGAGCCTTTCTTTTACTTATGGACAATGATGCTAGGGTTGTGGCAAGAGTCCCATTCGGAGTCGCCGGCCCTAGAAGATTGATGACCAATTCTGAAGTAGCGACTATGGCCTACAGTACATAAAGCTCATACTGGTATTAAGAACGAGGTAACTGACCACCTTTCTAGTTCGTGCTCACACCTCCGTTCCTGTACCGAGAGTCCTTGACTGGAACGACGACCCTGCCAATCCCACTGGCACTGAGTATATTATTATGGAGCATGCCTCAGGGGTCCAGCTGCATGAAAAATGGAACACGATGAATACACTTCAGCAAATGCTGTGCGTTAAATCTGTAGCCACATTAGTGAAGGAGATGGCAAAATTGAAGTTTCCGGCATACGGAAGCTTGTACTTTGCAGATGCACCAATTAATCCATCGTTAAAACTGGACTTGTCCGATGGATTCTGCATAGGCCCGCATTGCGGGACCCAATATTGGTGCTTGGAACCAGGAGAATCTCGCTATTACGAGCGGAGGAAACCAAACCAGGGGCCGTGTAAGTTAATCGAACTTTATCGATGTGCCCCCTGGACAAGACGTTAACGTTTTTTCGCACATCTAGGGGCAGATGTATTATCTTATTGTTCTGGCCTAATAGACACGGGCTTTTCACGAATACCATCCACGGCCCCCGCGGACGGAACATTTTCCGGTAGAACCATCCAAGACCATCTACGTCTATTAGAAGTTAGCGAACAGGTTGTGAAAGAGGTCATCAAGAGCCCGGCTATTCAGAACGTCTCCGCACCAATGCTTCTGCACCCCGATTTCCACAAAAGGAACATTTTCGTATCCGATGACGACCCTACCCGCCTAACTGCTGTGATTGACTGGCAATCCACTGGGGTAGAACCAGTGTTCTCTTTCGCGAACGAGACACCAGATATGGTTGCCGATAGTACAATCGACATGCCCCTTTTTGAAGATGAACCGGAAGCGTCACCTAATCAGACGCAGAGCCCACACGACAAAAAATGCGAAAAGGAAATCTCTATCTGTGAGCAAACTTTCGAGGTTGCTTTGAAAGGTTGGGTGCCCAAGTTGCACGATGCCCGAGCTCTTGACGAGACACTACTCAGGCCGATACGATACTGCCATACATCTTGGAGAGATGGTGCA